CCGCCAGTGCCATTGTAGCCTCCCTCAACCCACCTCTGACGAATGTAAGTACTCATCCTCCCTATCCATCCCCTATTCTCCCATTACCCCAACACCCCCATCACCTCCGACCACCAATGTCCTCACTTATGACAATTATGGACTAGCCATTCTCATGAGGGTGGCCCTTTCATCGCAGGTTGAGGAATCCTCCACCGCCCCAAAACCATTCTCTATCTCCTTAAATACACCTAATGCACCTCCCACCATTACACCATCACAACCCACCACCACTTCCATCCCCAATGTCGAACCACCAACTATTACCCTTTCACCGTCGGTTTCCCCAAACCGCTCTTGGTTTGACCTAAACCAAATGGGGGACTGTGGGGATGAGGGATTGGACGATATTATGTTTGATTTTGAAGGTACACCAGAAGGAGGGCAGGCCGGGACATTCCCATTTGAGACGCCGACAAATATCGCCACAAGTCAACGGTCCAAAAACACCCGGGTGACAGCTCCTATCGAAGGCAGACTCACTCTTCGAGTAATGCGTCGGGTGAGCCAAAAACACGTTCAAAACAGTGGTGAGAGAAGGGCAAGGAAAAGGTGACGGAGGAACAAGATGTCAATTACGAGCCAGAAGAAGAACAAACCCAAACCCCTATGCCTCGGCGAAAACGGACTACTTCATGCAATCGAGGTACATCTCTGTCCTTTGATGATAGGTCCGATCTTATACGCAACAACCAATTCCTATGTGAGTGAGCATTTGACCCCAAACTGAGTGATAAGTTAATGTGCGTTAAGCACCACTTATTTGCACACCATTGGGAAAATATGATTTCGATTCCATGCAAAGTAAATGAGACATTGGTGAAGGAATTCTTTGCAACAATCGGGAGTTCTAACAATGACATCATTGTCATTCAAGGAACGCGTGTGAATTGGACAGCACCGAAACTCAAGTCGGTGCTTGGTCTCACTGCCTCGTTTATTTGTTCCTACCGACAGTTTATTGATGGAGGTTTAGATGTGTCGGAAGAAGAAATTGCAAGGACGCCTTTTTTTCCCGTGCACGATTGGTCCTATGACAACCGCATAAATTTTTTAATGTCCGGGCACTTGACTTTGGAAGCTGCCCTTTGGTTCCAGTTTTTTCGCCACAACATCATACCCTCTATGCATGATTGAACTTTATCAAGGGCGAAGTGTATTTTGGTTTATTGTATCATCAAGGAACTCCCTATCGATGTCGGTGCTCTTGCATACTCGACAATACTAACATCTACCGTGCGAGCTAGTTCGCTTTGATTTTTCTAGGTTTGATCACCAAGTTATTGGCAGCCGCAAAGGTGCTTGTTTCGAAGCACGATATCATTACTTTTAGCCATTCCTTGCTTGATCAAGGGACGGTTAATCGTATGCACAAGTCGGAAAAAGAGAATGAGGAATTAGTGGACGATGCTACCGGACCCCGGACCGCGCCTGGGCCTGCTGCAAACTGCTTACGGCGGCCCAATGATGGTGTTTTCCCTGCCTCCAGACCATCCGCAATTGTCCCTCCCACCGCTGCCAATATTCCGTCGATACCACCTACGACAACTGACTATGGTTCGGAGGTGTGGATGTCCTTAATGGCTAGTCAACGGGAGGAATGCAACCAGAAGATGTGAGCCATTGCCGATGAATTGACCAAGATCACGGACCGAATCACCCAAGTCGAGGACCGAGTTGCTGGATTGACTGCGTGTTCAGAAAAGTTTTGGACGTACACGAGAGACCGGAACAGGGTTGTCAACAAGTTCCTGTATGCCAAGAATGTCATGATGGCTTCAAATTTGCCGTGCTTTCCAGGTGGCCTTTACCCTCCACAAGTTCGACTACCCAAAATTCGTCGGACCACCACTTCGGATGCCACGGTGAGGCTTCCACTAGTTGGAATGAATTGGGTAAATGGGATTGAATTATTGCTTGGTGTTTCCTCATTGCTTTTGAAACTCTAAAACTATTTTTCGTGGGTATATAATATTTTGTCCAACCGCCTCTTTTGTGTTTATATAAGGCGGTTATTGATCCTTACATCGATCTTTTGGTTAATTGCTACTCTAACCCGTTATTAGTAAATATTTGGGCGTTGATAATTTTTTTGGTATTTTGTTGGCTTGTTCTCTCATTTCAGGTACGATTTCCTTAATGAAATCTTTTGGGTTGCAAAAAATAAAAAGACGTAGGCCATCTTTCATTTTTGGCCGAAACACTTTCCCTAGTTACCAAACCAAACACTTTAAACCCGGTTCTCCAATGCGGACATTGTTCGGTTTAAGTTTGGGGGAGTACGTGCTCCAAAGTCTTATAATATTTTTTAAAGTACCAAATGTCTTCGAAAAATTGGAAGACACAAAAAAACAAAAAGTAAAACAAAATGCTTTAACCCAAAGAGCAAAAGTGAAAAATCACTTGTTGGGTTCCTAGAAAGTGTCAAAGACACAACAAAAAGATGCAAAAAATCGAAATCATTCAAGCATTGTTGTCATTTTAGACAAGTTTGGGGGAATTTTTTTAGCCAAATACACTAACCCGATAAAAACGCTACCGATTAATTTTTGCGTTTCGAAGATCAAAGAAAGTATGTCGTACAACATCTGAGTTTGACGAGATTTCGACGCCCATCCGTAAGTTTTGTGTTTTCTCATCCATTTTTGTTCATATTTCTTTCATTTTTCGTTACTTAAGGACAAGTAATATCTCAAATTTGGGGGTGTGATAACTCTCATTTTTTAGAGTTATTTCTTATTTATTTCCCCCATTTTGTAATTATTAAATATCTAATTTTCTTGATTTTCCCCTTTTATTCTAAAAAGTTGTAAAAAGATGATGAAACACAAAGGAAGAAATTTTATTCCGAAAACCTGCATTTTCTGGCAAACTGTCCACTGTGGGAAGTCCACGAATTTTGTTGGCTTCTGCTTTTTGGAAAATGTGCAGCTTGAAAAATCCTCTCTGAGATTTCCTCCAGCTGTAATAAGCTATTGAGATGTACCCTTTTATTTTAAACCCTTTTGTCCAAAGGTCTTTACCCCTTATATATTGTGCTTATTATCCTTTGGATAATAGTTTTGTCTTATTCCCTTTTTCTCCTATATAAGGAGACATTGGGAGCACATTTTGAATACACAACCTACATATCCTCGAGAGCATCATATTTCTCTCCTCTCTTATTTCTCTTTATTATTAAGTTTTAATTATTGTAGTTAATATTCTTCTCTTTTTAGTTGTAATTTAGCATTAAATTTGTAATTTAGTTTTATATTAATGCAAGTTACATTTCAGTTTTATTTAATGTCTTATATTATGTTTATTATTAGCTAAATTATTCGTATGTGTGTGGGTGTGAGTTTAACTTAAGAATTTTATACAATATTTGGGTATTTTTATCCTTTACCACTTCGTAACTTGGTAACTTAAGACGAGACTTAAACTTGACGCGGATAAGCCGATCACTTTGAAGTGTTAATATTATATCTTAGAGCCAGAGATGGACAAATCCGAAATACGGCTTAAGTGATGCACAAAGAACTCGAGAGAGTCTTTGATAATTATGTGGAGACACGAATTTTGTATGTATTTAGCTAAGGGTTAAACGATGGTTATTCTTATCACAAAGAGATTTGAGTATGAATTTTATTTCTTTTACTTTTTGGTTAAATCGGCAAGTTTTGAAGTGGTACATGTAAGAAACTTGTGGAATTTTATGAGGCCCGTTTGGAAATTTTCATTCGAGATATTGAGATTTTTATAAACAACTCATAAGATTCTAACCATTTTATTGTTAATTTTATTTTAAGGAACACTTACACCCATGCCTATTCTTTAGTCTAAATAGTTTATTACTCTATTTCAGTCCTTTTTAGTCTTTTTATAAACAAAAATCCAACTTTTATTTACAACCTGAAACTCGAGTAAAAAGTTCATGAAAGTCTCTGAATCTCAGTAGTCCAGTCCCTGTGGAACGATCACGGTACTTTTATCACTTTATTACTTGCAAGCGATCATAGTGTTGGCGTGCACTTGCAACGCCACTGTGGGGACTTTGTGCCCAATGGGTGAACACGACCGATCCTAGCATGTCAGTATGTTAATGTGATAAGGGTATAAAACAAAAAATGAAAAACAAAGGGATATACCATAAATTACATAATTAACTACAATAGTATAAAATATAAGTGTTAAAAATATTTTTCTGTAGTAGTATATAATAAAAAATATTCAATATTGGATTTATTTTGAAGGTATTGACAAGACGATTATAATGATGTAACTTGTTAAAATTAGAACGTATCTTTTTAACGTATTTTAGTTAATATATAATTATGTATCTTAATGTGAGAAGGGTATAAAACAAAAAATAGAACAAACAAAACTATAAAAATAAATTAATTAAGTAACTATAGAATATGAAGTATAATTTTAAAATTAAAAAGTATATTAAAAGAATGAGTATGTAAGATGAATAAGATGAATAAATGGTATGAAAATGCTTCGTGAGAGGTTAATTTTGTTGTTAGATCTAATTTTAGTTAATATAAAATTATGTTTTTCAATGTGATAATGGTGTAAAACGAAAATTGAAAAAATAAATTATGTACTATAAATTAAATAAATAACTATAAAAGTATAAAGTGTAAATATTCAAAATATTTTTTCATAGTATATATATAATATATAATAAAGTAAAAAACTATTCAGTATTGGGTTCATTTCGAAGATATTAACGAGAAGATTATAATGGTATAACTTGTTAAAATAAAAATATATTTTTTAAACATGTTTTAATTGATATACGATTATGTATCTTAATTTAATAAATATCTAACATAAAAAATTAAGAAAAAATGTAAATTAAATTAATTATAAAACGTAAATTTAAAATTTTTTAAAAAATTCGAAGGGGGTGAGAAGTGATGCAAGGGCCTTTTTCTTACAAATGAAAAGATACGATTTGATATCATCGGAAAATGGGAAAGCTGGTAAGAACTTCTACACCCCTTCTCTTCCAATCCAAACTCCTCTGTTCTTCTCTTACCTATCTTTTCCTCTCTCTCTTCCTCGCTTTCTACACCTCTCTCTCATCCACCAAATGTCGATTCCGTTCTTCTCCTTTCGATCCAATCCAATCCCCTCTCTTCATTTACCCCCAATCTTACGCTCACCACAAGCACCCCATTCCCGCCATTCAATCCTCCTGCGATTCCCCTGTTTTCTTCTCAGGTAAACTTTTCCAATTTCAATCTATTCCAATTCTCAATTTTCGATCTGTTTCATGTTTTTTCTTCTTTTTTTCGGATTTTACAGATTATGGGTTTGTTTTGGATGAAATCCGACGGATTACGGAGTATTCTTCGTGGGATAATTTGAAGGTTTTGAGGTATATCAAAGAGAATGGGAATGGTGGAAGTTTTGGTATGAATTACAGTATTCAGAAAAGAATGTCGTATTTCGATTATCGAGATGGTGGAATTGAAATCCCTTGTGGGTTTTTTAAGAAATTCCCCATTTCTGATTCTGGTTAGTCCCCCTCCCCCATTGAATTCATCGATGAATTCGTTCTCTTCGTTTGACCTTTTCTATTTGTTCTTAATACCCATAATTGCTTTTGAATTGTTCCTAATTAATTTGCAATCATCTAAAATAAACAAATACTTCCTCGTCAACAAAAATGTGAACATTTATTTTGGGACAAACATATTTCAAAATATAAACACTTATTGTTATTTGTTGAATTCTACGAGTAATTGAATACGTTATAAAAATGGGTTTTTTCTTAGACAGGATTGCGATGGAAAGTTGCACCGGTTTGGTGGTTGTTTCGGCTATATTCGGAGACCATGATAAAATCCGTCAACCGAAAGGGCTTGGATTTCGAACCCTAGACCATGCGTGTTTCTACATGTTTGTTGACGAAATCACTCTCAAACAATTCCGCTATCACAACTTACTCTCTAGAAAAACGAAGGAAATGAGGATTGGAGTTTGGAGGATCGTAAAAGTTTTGAGTGGAGAATTGTACGAAAATCCGGCTATGAATGGCGTAATCCCGAAATACCTGGTTCATAGGATGTTTCCCAATTCGAAATATAGCATTTGGGTAGATGCAAAGATACAATTGACAGTCGATCCGTTACTACTGCTTTATTCCCTTGTAATAAAGGAAGATGTGGATATGGCTATATCTAAACACCCATTTTATGTTCATACGATGGAAGAAGCGATGGCGACTGCAAGATGGAAAAAATGGTGGGATGTCGATTCGTTGAGGATACAAATCGAGACGTATTGTGAAAACGGGTTACAACCTTGGTCGTCAAACAAACACCCTTACCCTTCAGGTAACAAGTCTAATTCTATATTAGTTTAAATTTATATCAGTATTCTTTAAAAATATCATAATAAATAATGAATAATATATAGCGGTAGATGATGAATTACAACTTGTCTTAACTTGAAAGCTACTTTAAAATGATTTGACAACAATTATATGTTAAATAATTTAAATTTTTTTATAATAATATGAAATTCACTCCAAAATCCAAATGAATCATTTTCGGGCAAACATAGGTTATCATTTGGTATAACACTTAAAAAATATCTTAATCAGTCAGTATTTATTTAACAATAAATTTTTAGTCTTATATACTATTTTTTATTCTGACGTATGTGACATATTTACGTAATTGAAGCTTACAACATGATATATATATATATTATATATATATATATATATATATATATATAT